TTACATTATACGCTCGCCGCACAAGATGAAAATATAGTTAAGAGAAACGATTGAAATTCAAATTAAAAAAAGCCCTAAAGTGAATAAAAAAAAGAATCTCACTTTAATTAAAACGTTAAAGTATTTTGTTTTTTCACTATATTTTAACAGCTTAAAAGACAAGAATATAAAATATATTGCTTACTATCATATTAAATTGATTTTGAACTAAACATGAATAAATACTGGTCCATATTTCTTATTTTGTAATCGCTAGAGGACAGATTATTTTCGAATCGCGACTGAATATAATCACACATTCCTAAAGCGGCCTTTGAATATGTAAAGCAAATAATTATAATTTGAATTTATGAAAAATCTTCGACTCTAATAGTGATGTTTAGTTATTAAGTTTCATTTGCCCTAATTTATAAATGAACAAATATTACGAACTCTGTATTAAATATAAGTACATCGAGATGATATTTTGTATAATTGAATTGGGTTGTATAGGTTACGTACAGCGTTGATTTAAGTAAGTAGTTATGTAGTATTGTAAAAATAACAGGTATTGTCTTGTATAAGCCCGTAATTAAAGTTAAAGAGAACTTTATTTATGCCTGTCGCATTCGACAGGAAAACACCTAATTGTTTTGACACATTCTTAATATACGACATCATAATAAATTCAAACGTTTTTTATTGAAATTATTTATCCATGATTTATTATCTGAATTTTTTTTATTAAAAAAACAAAACCGACTTCTAAACAAAATACTTATTGTATTATATATTATAGTGTATACAATATAGACGACAGACAGCTACAATAAGGGAGGTTTACATACTCAAGTAATTCGTTACTTTCTAGTGTATTGTTTTTTGAAAATATTTTATTTTTAGTGTATGACATTTTGTTTGGAAGTTGGTTCTGTTTTTTTTTTTTATTAAAGAAATATTTATTTCTCGATTTTTAGTGAATCTATACATCGCAATGTGATAATCACTAGCTTTCAAACAAAGAATGAATTATCTGTATCGGTTGCCAAGAAAGTAAGTAAAGAACCAATACATGATTGCCATCATTTACTCTTAATTCTGTGCGGCCACGCGCCGCTCTTGCCCATGTGTTTTAATAATTTGATGTCTTCTAAAATATTGGTTAGAATTATATACTGCAAAAGGCAATTATTATCTTAATTTCATACTCTAATTAGAACATATTTATTTGGATAAGGATTCATACCGAACACGAGTAATATGGTAAGTGGGTATACCTTACAAACCATGTTTTTGATGAAAAAAGTGGTTATTGTGCGACAACCTTAATAGATAAATATATACGGGTCTTTTATTTAGCAATTATAAAGGGCTACAATACTTCCATACATCATTTTTATAAAAGTCTCATAGTTTAGGCTTCGTAAGCATAACCTATTGCAATTTCTAGGTGGCCACTAATGAAAACAATTACCGTGTGATAGGGATAGTATCCCGCACTTAACGAAAACTAGCATCACAAATCTCCTGCACCTCGATCAGTAATGAAAATGCGCAGTAACAAAAGTTATAAGGGTTCAATAAAATGTCATATGTTCATAGAATACTTTAATTTGCTTGCACACAGCCTCTATTGAGAACGATGTAAAGAAATAGAGAGGCAAAATGGATTTTAACCAAATTTACCAAAGACACATTATTCACATCCTGCAATTTCATAACATCTCGCACGATGTTAAATTAAAATATTATAAAAAAAGATTCTCAAAATGGTGAGACAGTGGAAAAAGTGAATCATTGCAATTTTATTATTAACATATTAACACATTCAAAGAAGCGGACAATACAAAATTATTAAAATCATCTGGTTTATACATATCATAATCATTAAAAGAAAACAAACATAAAATAGTTCGTTAATACATAAAAATACAGAGTGTAATTAAAATAGAAAGGTCACTGAGAATTGGAAGGATCGCGGTTGACATTTGGTCAGTGGTCAGTGATCAGTGGTGTGCACGTCTCCTGTACTTCTGTATATCACGAGGCGGCGTCGGCGCCGTCACTTGCGTCACATAAACCTATACAAGAATCTAGATTTAACGTAACTTATTATAATTGCATATATCATACATCTAAACTCATGTAAACTTATTTTTTGTTTAGTTTCAAATTTTATTATTTTACTTTTTTTTTATTCTTTTTTTATTTTTTTAGCGTTAATCTCTTGTTTTGTTGTTGCCCCAGCGCGTTGTTGCCGGTGAAATTTGCCTTCCACGAATGATTTGATTGAGTCATCATTAGAGTGAGTGCGATGCCTAATTTATAATGATATATTTGTTAGGCTTCGCAAGTTATTCGACATTGTCAGGTTTTCGGTTGTAGTGTTGCGGGCGCGGGGCGCGGGGGGCGCCGCGCGCGCCTCCGCGGGGCCCGCCCCGGCCGCGGCTTTTGAATCCTCCCTGATACTGGTTAGTGTCGTATCTGTCGCGGCCGCCGTTCTCGTGGTGGTGGCTGTCGCCCGTGTCTCCGTTGCCGTAGTACTCGCTGCCGGCCCTGTTCTGGTACCCATCCTTGTGTCTGTTCTGGTAGCCATCATACTGTCTGTTCTGATAACCATCCTTGTTTCCTCTGTTCTGATATTCACCGCGCGGGTGGTATCCATCATTTTGTCTGTTTTGGTAGGAACCACGTCCGCGATATCCGTTGGAGGAACCCCGGATCACCGTACGACCATATCGCCTGTATCTATTTTGACCATCTCCTTGGCCTTGAGTTTTGCGCTCGTAGCCTTCTTCATTCTCGGGGCTTCGGCTTTCTTTCCACTCGTCTTCATTTTTGTCCTCATTTGGAGTGGGAGCTTTTCTCTCTTCAACCAGTACTGGAAGTTGTTGTTCAATAAGAACTGTTTGAGGAAGCGGCTGTGGCATGGGCTGCATCTGGGGCTGGGGGATGGGTTGGGGATGAACAAGGGGTTGCTGGGGAGGCAGAGAAGCCGGCAGGGGGACACCCGGGTACCCTGCGTGCTCGTGGTGCGGGGCGAAGTGCGGCTGCGGGGGCATGGGCATAGTCTGTTCAGGTACCCGGGCTCCAGGTAATTGCACAAAGTGTTGGTTTGTGAATGTCTGTGTGGGGATCGGTGCAGGTGGAGATGGCTGATTCATAATTTGTGGTGGATGCGGAGTACCTATGGGACTGTCAATTTCGGAATCCTGGAGAAAGAAGAAGTTTTGTGAACCTATAACTTCTGAAATAGGTCTCTGCTGGGGATACTGTTGAGAGAAATATGCATGCTCGACTTCCTGAAGGGTTATAGGAGGCAGAGGACGCAGAGGGTAGGCCGGCGCGGGTACCACAGAGGGCGCGGGCGCAGGGGGCAGCATGGCCGGAGGAGGATAAGGTACAGCATTAGTCTCCTCCACTTCCAAAGTAATCACATGCTGTTGTTCTTCATCCACTATGACATGAACCTCATCATTCTCGACTGGAGTAGCATCATCACCGCTCTTGTCAAAATATCCACATTCATGAACAGTAGTGACTATCTCCTTGATGTGAGCATAAGTTGTGCCCAAAATCTCTTTTGGTTTTCCGTCAATGATTGCATATAAATGTTCCGCAGCTTTAACTGTTTGCATGTGAAATCCCGATTGACCTTCCTCATTTAGTTCATGTTTTGGTGTAACTTCAGGATATCTGTAATTATTTAACTAAAATTAGTCAAACCATTAACTAGTGGCCTCCCATACAATAAATAAAAAATTGGATAATATTGGATGATAATGAAGTGGCGAACAATGAGTGGTTGCATCCAAAGTACAGTCTTATGTTGCAAATGAACTATTATACCACAGTTTAAATTCAGGTTTTATACTTACAATTCATCCAAAATTTTTAAATCATCTTCAGTGAGTTTTGCTGCTCCATTAGTTCCATTCAAGAAGTCTTCACGAGCTTCCGAGCTGCCCATTTGCATAAGGCAGTCCAAAATTAGCAAAACTTCTCTGATTTTGTTTGTTTCAGCAGCATATCGCACCCATGCATCCTGCAATTTTTTTACATGTAATTGTTATTCCTAAATGGTTCCACAACCCAGATTCTTTGTATTGAAATTTGCTTTTTGAAGTAATTTTGAGAAATGTTTCTTGATTTAAACCCCATTTCAGTTGAAATTTAAATGATTTAAAGAAAAGACCTCTTGGGCATACATGAAGCAACAACAAGTCCACAGTTTTCTATTAACTTATTAAGGATCTTCAACTTTATTAATTTGTTCAGCTGATGATCTAATTATAAAAACACATATTTTCTTACCTTTTTAGCCTGCTTCTTGGCCTCACGCTCGGCTGATGACACAATAGCAGTAATTTGTTTAGAGAGGTCTCTTGCAAAATCCAGTGTCTGCACAACCTCATCATACTTTGCTACTGCTACTTTTTGGTCTGTGTTTAATTCTTTACCAGCCTTTTGCAGGTCACGGTATGATGTCAGCTTACTCTGAAAGTGAATAACATATTATGCAAACATCAAACAAAAGACATGAGTAATTTATTGTTATAGTACATAACTAAATATTGTATCTACATTAATCTAACTTGTATCTATCTTCAACTGTATTTAAAACTGTACTTTCTTATGAAATATACATTTATAACATGACAAAAAGATGCATAAAGAACATTTAGATCTTTAAATACGACAAAAAGAAAACCACAATCCAAACAAGTTAATTTATATTACTATTATGACATCTACGCGTATCTTACATTGATTTTGTACCGGCAGTATTATGGAAATACGATTACATTATCACTATATGCAATTGCTCATCAGTTTATGATAAGGAACATAAATATACACAAAAAAGTATTGCAAATTAAAAAGGGATACTGCTGTTACGAATAAGAAGATACTAACCCTAACTCATATTAATACACGTAACCTTCCTTACATACTAAATGTGAATATGTAAAATTATTGGGCGTAGCGGTTTGGTAACAATAATGTTAGACCGGAGCACATGTATTAAAATGGCGTCCAGAGGAACACCGCAACTTTATTTACATACAGCAAAAGGCCGGAAAATCATAAAACATTAAATATAAACGACAAGGAACTTTATTATCCCATAAGTACATAGTAATGATAATAGTGGAAAACATATAACCATCGAATTATAAGTTATACACATACAATTATTAGACGTTGATGTAGCGAAAAAGATAACTTACCTTTCTTTTTTCCAAATTGCGTATTTTGTGTTCAATAACGGTGATAATTTGCCGTACAGGTGAATTATCCGTAGCCTCCGAAGAGGCTGGTTTTTCGGACTTTGCATTCGCTGCTGAAGGCATCCTTCACAGGCAACAACTTCTTCTGGATTGGTTCTTATGGTGGTGGTATTTGAATAGACAATTTTTAAGTATATAACTAGATTTTGCACTATACTACATAGAGAATCTGTCAGTAAACGAACGACGCATTTTTTTAATTGTAAATGTTGGTACCATTCATTCGTAAACCCCGCGAAATTTTTAAATACTTTTAAGTTTTCCTGATAAAATTATGAAATTTTTGCAGCAAGTTTTATAATAGGGTTATTGTAAAAACTATTTCGTTAATTTTGTTGCAAATTATAAAAACTGGTAACGCATTAGTTGCTTAAAAGTGATAAACTTGATTAATGATGACCAGAGACAATCCTTCCAACTTTCTCACAGAAATATTATGCATCGGAAACATTAATCGTGAATCAACAGGGACTAGTTGACAAAGGAATACTTTTAAATACATCTGCGACCTAACTTAATAACTGATAAATGTTTTATAGCTAATCTCTTTAGTAAATCTACAACATGTTTTGTAGTTTCTAAGCAGACGGTATGAACGTAATTTTTTTTGTACTTATACAATGTTCAATTATTTATTATCATGGTCAATTTATCATAAATATGCTCAACATGCATTATGCACTGCATGAGATAAGGTTTTAATAAGAAATTCGGTGTTTATAATTCATTGTATTAATTTTATTAATCTGTGGTTTGTCTTTGTTATGTTTCATTTCTACAGTACAGTGACAAATAAAACCAACCATTCTATTGACGGAAAGATTTTTTCTTGGTTTATTTTATTTACATGTAACTTTATTAATTCTTTGCTCTTTATTATTTTAAAGTAAATTTTGTTAACCTCACGATGTTTTCTATGTCAAAGGTAATGAAACAGTGTATGCGCAAATATAAAAGTTATAACCTAAACGCCGGTATACCTTTTTATTAAGTGTATTATTTTGTCATTACCAAACATTGAACAATATCGTTTTACTGAAAGAGTCAACTGTTTAAGAAAAACATTGTAGATAATTAAATATTTTCAGTTATCTGCGTTTCGAAGTTTACACCGATGTTCAAAGCAACTTCACACGACGATTGTCCATTTTGATACTCAGAAAACTGAAAAAAGTAAGTTTCATTTATTATTTTATATTAATTTAACTTTAGACAAGCTTTTATACATTCCTATAAAACATCAACTTGAATAATAATAAACAAATAGATAGTAGTAATATTTGCTTTTAGAACAATTGTATTTTCTTTATACATGCCTTATTTTCAGCTATCAATCAAGTTACTTTATTGGGGAGAGCTGGTGCCGATCCTCAGAAACGGGGCACAGAAGAACATCCAGTGATAAACTTTCCTCTCGCTACACATTACAGCTATAAATATGAATCAGGGGATATCTTACAGAGAACTGATTGGCACAGAATTAGTATATTTAAACCTGGTTTAAGAGATACAGTGTATAAATATCTGAAAAAAGGCCAAAGAGTATATGTTACTGGTAAACTATCATATGGGGAAATAAAACTTGATGATGGTCAAGTAAGAAGTGCCTCTACAGTGATAGCAGAGGATATTATCTTCTTTCAAAATCAGCAACATCCTGAAAATTAATGTGTATCTTAGTTTAAAGTAGAAATGTAAGAATAAATGTCATTGTTGATCAAAGCATGTTTTAATCACTTTTTACTGTATTTTGAATGTAAGAATGAACTATATATAATAGGAAAATACTGACAAGCTATCTAATTTGATGAGCATAAATGAAATTAAATTACGACTGCTTAGTAATGCCCTCATTTTATGCCATTTTTAGTACTAAACTAATCTGTAGCAACGCCATTCACTTGGCTGGATATCCTATTTGACAGTACATCTGACAGTCAAGGAAAATTTTAGTACATTAGTGACATCTATGGTATGCCCAACAATGAAATAACTTCGTTAGACAGTGCAATTACTTGTAACACAGCATAGATGGCGTTAATTATAATTTTATTTAATTTAAAAATATAATGCAGTCCATAAAAAGTAAAAATGGATACGCTAATTTGAAATGTGCCCTTTAGTAACCACATATATTTTATTAACTTTAGATTAACAGATGGCGCTTATTAGTAAACACCATAAAAATTGGAGAATGTTACCAAAAAATAGTTTATGCTAAACTAAATCCTATTAGAATAAAGGCGTTTGGTCCATATTAAACAGACATGAGTCTTGTTTTTAAGGCGCTGTATTCAATAAGGTATGTTTTCATGATTACACATGTCTTTAGAAATGTTTGCTGTTTACTAAGAGAATATATGAAAAATTTATTTTTTTCAGTGGGTAATGTGCTAGGATAAAAAACCAAGTTTCTGATAACATTATTTTCATTTATTTTAAGTTATTATAATCAAAGTGACACAATATTTTTCGAAACATGTTTCGATTGTGTACTAGTTGGAAATTATGACAATCACATGCCAAGTAGAAATAAATGTAAAAAATACAAACTCAGTTGTTATAGTACTTACTGATATCTAGGTACTTTGATAAAGCTCCACTTTTTGTTTTACAAATCATACATACTCTCTTTAGTAGGTTTCTTAATCTAAATCTTAGCAGACTAATATTTACAAAACACAATATTTTACTCTATGACATTTACCTATATTGATAAAAGAGATCACAGAAAATTGTAGCTGGAAATAATTGAGTAAAACCCCTAGCATATACTACATGTCTACCACTTTATATTTTATCACAGTGGAGTCCTTTTTGAATTATTTCAAGGCAATAATTAGGTATTACGATAGTCATAGTTATTGTCTTTTAAGAGAATCCAAAATATTATTTCACGATTCCTTCATAGTTGCCAAATAATGATGTGGTAGCACTTACATTATAATAAAATCTTTCACAAGCTACAATTGAAATGTTTGCCAAAAATAAATCAATGGAAGACAACAATGTGGTGATAAATTTTTTCAAACAGTTAACTCAGTTATGTACTCTCCTTAGCAATTTTCAAAACAAAAATAAAATCATACATAAAACTAATTAAATTACAAAAATGCAAAGACGAATGCGTATTGGTACGCGGCGTCCACATTGAGTTTTGGCAACGGGACATCTCATTAGTTGCGGCGAGATGCACTCAGCGTCCAATGTCAATGTTCCATTGCACACATTATTTAATTACATTCTATCTCTAACACTTATACATTTTCGTCCCTTTTGCTAACTAAGTTTTAATTGACACTATTTGATAAAATCACTTGGCACAAAGGCATTAAGGTCCATACCCTGTATAACTCCAAAGACCGAACCTGTCAAAGTACTCTCAGTGATTGATCTCTCATAAAATTTTACCATTTCTCATGTATAACATGATAATAATAGGAAGACTAATAAAATATCCTTTCTGAGAGGAATTCGACTAGAGGTTGTAGGGTGGAGTTGTTCACACATAAATTATTCACGTAAAACGTATCGCACTGTCGTGTCCCACGGTATACTCTAGCGTAAATCATTGTTCACATTTTTCACTTTTTAAATTAAGTGCGTAATGTTCAGGGTTGTATTCAGATTCACGTTTGAGCATCATAGTGTCGCCGATGAGGGCGCTGATGCGGTGCTTGTCGTGCGCGGCGTGCTGGGCGGCGTGCTGCGCGGCGGACTGCGCGGGGTCGGGGCGCGCGCGCTTGCGCCACGGCTCCGACGCGGCCATACTCAGATCTGTGGGCATGTCTTCTTCCACATGCTCATCCTCGCAACGTTCTTCTTTCATCTCAGTCTTAACTACGGGCTGCGGCGCCACCCGAGTTGGACTCATTTGCTGCCTCAGCAGAGAGATGTTTTTTATGTTTTTAAGTTCCGTAGGGTTTCGTAGGAATCTGCAATTGA